ATTTATCAGGAGCAGTAGTGCTGGTGGTGGTGGAAGCATTGTGTTTGGTGGGGGTTGTGCTGCATTGTATTATTTTTATTTTTTGGGAAGACATCATCTGCTCCTTCCTCCAAATCAAATCAGACATGAGAGAGATGGATTCGTAGGTAAAGGCATTGCTTACCTGAGAGAGAGGAAGATTGGGAAACGTTGGGTGCGGGTGATGAGATGATGTCACCCTTTCTGAAGACATATTATTATCATTATCATTATTATTCCTACAAATAATATGCATGACTATATCGCCAGTGTCAGAAATGTGTTAATGCCATAGAGCCGAGAAGAACTCCCCATAATGGCAGTCTTTCTTCCCTTTGTGTAAATTTAATCCGCTCAGCTCACAATTCAAGTGAGACAGACATTACTCGTCAGAATCAAAAGTTGAAAGAAAGTTGTGTTCAAGTAAGAAGAGGTGTTACTCGTGTTGAGGGCTAAGTAGCTTTTTACAATGAATATGCATACGGGAAGACCCATCATTGTGCACACAGCACATGCCAAGTCACACGGGGCACAAGACAGGGGAAAACTTGACACATTCAGCTGATAAGAATATGTGTTTGTACGATGATGGGAACGAATTAAGGGACCAACTAAATATGAGGCAAGCATAACGTTGTCGGAGGGTGAGTGAGAAGTAATGACGATACGAGAATTAACTAAACGTCGAAAATGTGACTCTTATGCACTTCTTCTCGGAGTGGTGGTGAGGTTAAGGGTTGAATTAGAATCCCATCAACAAAGATACAGAAAACCAAACCACAGCTCGGCTGGTAATTCCGTCATGACATAAATATTATACAGGCCAAGAAGTGTCTGGCTTAAGAAGGAGTGTGTAAAGGCAGTTATTATGATAAGATACGACGACGACGATGAGGAGGAAGGAACGCTGAAGGTGTCAAGTTGAAAGGTTGATTAGCGCAGAATGCAAGCACCACGACTGACTGCATGCATGGCAAACATTCGAAGAGTGACAAAATTGCACCATGTTCTCAACTTTGGTAAACAGGCAATAAAATTTTTATTAGCTGCCTCCAGTTTTTAGTGGTCCAGATTTTGGGTGAAACAAGTTTGACTCTTGTTATTATTGCCGTAAATGATGCAAGAAGAAGAAGAAGTCGTCGTCGTGGTAGTAGGAGTCGTTCGTACATATGTCGGACACCGGTCTGAAGTCGTACCACGATTGGTAGTGAAATAATGGAGGAGAGTGAGAGAAAAAAGCCAATCTATTTGAGAAATTGGATTTCTTTTGCGGAATATGAACGCCACGGGTGACAAGGTTTGTTAAGCAGTTAAAGTTAACCAAGTAAAGTATAAGGAACTCGTCTGACTCTTCTTCTTCTTGTACTTCTTCTACTTGGGGGGAAGGATATGAAGAATTCATCCAACTGTGTAATTGTAAGAATGTGCTGCATAGTAGTAAGTTAGTTAAGCCAGTCAAGTAAGGTGGTGGTGGTGGTGGTAAAAAGGTAATAAAGTGAGAATGCTAATGAAATTGGAAGGCTCTCTCTCTTGGCTTGGCTTGGCACACTGGCTCGCTGGGCTGACTTGAAGCAGAAAAGTGTGAAATGGAGAGGCTCATAAATTATTAGATTATTATAAGAAGAAAGAAGTGGAAGAGAAACTAAACTCGAAAAGTGCATAGTCCAGTCTCCTCAGAAGAAGAGTGTAAGGGATCAGATCGGAGAGAGATGCGATGCTGGCTAATTCTTCTAATCGGGGCAGAATGAGAATAAGAGGAGTAGGAGTGAGACTACTTCTGGAAAACTTATTATGAGTGCATCCCATCCTCATCATGACGGAAAGGATACTAATCTAATCTGGAGGATAAAAGAGACTAAACGGGGAAGAAAAGAGAAAAGTTGACGAAAAAGTTTGGTAACTTGTTTAGAGATGAGAAGGAAGGAACTGTATAGCAGGTCGCGGTAGGGGTCTGGCCTAAATTATTAATGGAAGACGCAGCAGACCTTTACCCCTGCCGCAGTCAGTCAGCCACTTCTTGCACCATCTTAGCCTCAATCCTCTCTCTTGGTCGGTGCGATATGATAGACCAAGAAGACCAAGTGATGGACGGACATCCATTACTGCACACATTTGCATATTCTACTCGAAGAATCCTCTTCTCTTCGGAACGGTCACTTGTCTCGATCCTGCTGGATGACGGTGACGATGACATGCCTCCATTTCTCTCAAAGTCCCCGGGTTTTACATGCATACGCGTAAATTCATAATTCCATCGTCGTGATGATGAACATCATCTCGGTAATGTGAGCGTCGACACAATAGTGGACGATTCGACACCTCGACTATTCTTCTCTTCCTCTGGACGACTTTCTTTGCAGCCGTACATTTTTTTGCACCCTCCACGCACGTTGTTTTCCTACTGACGGACATGTAACAATAATCATACTAATGGTACGACTGATGTGCCTGGAGACAGGAAGAAAATCAACGTATCGTGGTGATTTTTCTCCACAGTCGTTCGTCGTTACTATCCTGATCTAGAGTTTCTTTTGTTCTGTAATCATCACTCGGTTGGTAGGTGTCCAGTTGAGCAGTCGATGGCATCATCATCATCGCATCACATCAGTGGGACACATTTTGCAACAACAATAACAACAATGAAATGGCTACATGTGTTTTTCACTGACTTGTCTCCCACAAGAAATATTATTCCCTCTTGCGTTATGTCTAGAGCACAAAAAAGTGGGTTGGTTGGCATACACGACCGACCACGACTGATGATGAACACATAATAATTATCATAAACAAGGAGAGGAGCCGTTACCTGTGGGGGACGCTGACTTGGTCGTCTTGGTGAGATGGAGTTTTGCACTTTAAATATCACCACCACCACCAAGCACTTACAGGCCGAGGCATTGTTTCCTCCTGACAGGGGCTTCATCGCTATTATTGTATTGTAATTGGGAATCGATGATAAAGATGGAGAGATACGTTAATGAATTTACGCGGTGCTGATGTGGACCCTGGGAATGAATCATGGATTAGTCGTAATCATCATCATCAATAAGTCAGCCGTATAGTGAAGCATGATCGCGGACAATGTGCTATATCTGCGTGTTTCGAATATTCTTGATTAGGTTTGAGGAGGAGGCGGGCGGGTTGATTAGGGTAATGATCTCCTCGACACATGGAGATACCTATCGAGAAAGAGAGATATGGACGTATCTTGAGAGCTTAGAAATGCTTGTGCAGTATCGGGTGTAGCGATGTGTGATATCAAGGCATACTCGTAATTATGACGGCCTGCAGGCACCACCACTATTCTTTTCTCCCAAGTTGCGAGAGAGAAAAAAAGCAAGGAACGATATGATATGATATGAAATCTTATATTATATTTCCATCCTCGCGTTTCCATGGCAACGTTGTTGTGGCTGCTGCTAAAGTTACATAACGTTGAAGGAGAGACCTCGTTTAACAAATGTTTCACATTTTACGTAAAAGTGCACAAACCGCAACACAATACGGCAGCGGTTAAGACAAGATAATAATTTACTGCTCGAGCGGAAAACCGCATCCTTAACGTGAACGTGAGGACGCCGTGGTTTTTGTGGCGGATTGAGAAAACAAATTGCTTAATTTTTTGATGAAATCTTATTCCTAATAAGTGAGAAAACGCTTCAGGGGGTGAATCTAATTTGGAAAAACGAGCAAAATAATCGAGCAGATTTGGGGAATTTTATTCTCAATAGGAATGAAATGACTTGGTTATTTGCGAAATCAGGATTTATTGAGATGCGCAATATTAAGATTGCATAGTCAGTTGGAAGATGAGATGATAACAAGAAATGGCGTATGCTGGGTTTGACGTGCTGTTTTAAATTTAGTGTCTGCGAATGAAAAGAAATGCGAAATTTGTACATATTTTTCCAGTTATTAGTATCATTATTATTGTTCCCACGACTGCAGACAGACAGAGACGGACGGATTAAGCCCAACCCAAACAAACCCCCCATCATCCATCCATCAACTTCCTTCTCATTTTTTTCCCTTCAACGATTAAATTAAACTCGCGTTACAGAAGAAGTGGAGTTGATGATCTAGATTTTTATAAGTCTATCTGATTCTAAGAGTGGTACCTTGCACCCAACAATTAATCAGAAATGCAGTTCACACTTGCTTATCGTTTAAACGGTTAATTAATACACCGTATTTCCCATTGGTTGGTTGGTTGGTGGTATTGTTCACGCATAGTTATCGTATGTTCACTCCAAGTCTCCGCCTCAATTTCTGTGCTTTATTCCCCTGTCAAAGAGTCATTATTACCGCAGAGAAAGAAAGAGAGAGAGAGAAGCGCATATATGATTGTTCGGATAAAATGCTACAGAATTGTCCATGTTTTATTGTCTTCTTCTTTCTTCAGCTTTGATGCTCATTGGACAAGGAAATAATAATAAATCCTCTCATTTCAACGAACAAACCGATTTAATAACTCAACTTCCAGACGATGAAAACAATGTCTTGTTGTAACAAGGCTCTGGTAAAATGCTGCTGTTTTGAGAGACTACCTGCTGCTGGAAGGGAATGGAGGACATGACTTTTTTTAGCCTTGTGAACAACGTGACAACTTCATCATGAAGTAAATGTGGGATAAATATATGATGATAATCAGCAATCCCGGTTTCGGTGTCAAGTCAAAAACTTGTGCTTTGCTTGTGATCTGTTCATTTTTTCACAATTTTGCCTCGAGCAACCACGATCTCCAAGTAACGAGACACGATGATGATGACGACGACGACCTATAGAATGTTATCATCATCACTATCATGATTCATTTCGTGAAGCTAAAGTAGGAGAACCACCCCCACAAACAGAGCAAGAATATTTACCGTCAAGACGAGGATGATGAAATAAATTATTCATTACAGAGCGTCTTATTGTTTGTGATGTGACGCACAAAATGGATCACTCGTAATAACGTATTTTTATTTTTTTGATCACAGATTCCGGATAGACAATACAGACCACATCATCGATGTGAACCGGGACAACCTCCCCTACGACCAGGTGAACATTATTTGTCCAGTGTATGCACCAGGAACGAGCGAAGAAGATGCCGAGAAGTATATCATCTACAATGTAAGTACCCTCTTGCCTTCCTTCAGTAATGCGCATAGACGAGTGATGTAGATCAGTACCCAAACTACCATCATACGTACTTAGAACGTGCCAATAAGGGCAACTCTGGACGTCAGGACGATCACAAGTACGTTCTTCGTACCTTGTGAGTACGTCCCTGTAAGGTTGGTTTGTCGCCACTTTCAACGTACTATAGACCGTACCTGGATGGGACCTTTGTATGGAATAAGAACGTATATGGCCCGTTATTTTGTTCGGCATTAGTACGTACTTATTATGAATATAAATAACTCCTTGGAATAATACGAAATTATTTAATGTCTGGATCCCGAAGGACTTTATTATATCTAGTAGTACCAAAAATAACAGTTGTATTGCAATAAGCATGACATCAATACTACCAAACTTGATTATTCTACGATGGAACGTCTCGAACGGTTTTTTTCTGCAACATATAATTAATTAATAATATTTTCTGATATAATAAGAAAGATAAGAGTAAAATAAGCCTACATTCTGTGCTGCAATCCGCGCTGGAGCTTTCTTCAGATAATACTTTATGGCTTCGTCTGTATCTTTGCTGCTTGAGGCAGGAATTATTAGTCGAACTGCACCTTTAATGTTACACGATAATCTTAGTTGTGCATGCATATTGATTATTTATATACCTCGTGATAAATAACTTACGTAGGACGGACGAGTGGATTTCCGGGTAATTGCAAATTGCATGCTTTCCTGTTTTTCCGACAAAACTAAACGTTGTCATCATGGCATCAGTCATTAGTTCAGCCATGACTCGGTAGGCGGCTTCTGATGTCCGCCGTCCACCAACGAAAGACAATTCTTGAACCTAAATTGAATTCAAAGATCACTTAGATATTTTAATACATATATTATGAATATTATACTTCATATAATATTTTAAATATTTTTATTTAAATGTACCAGCGCATCCTTTATTTCATTTACTCGCATATGCTTATCTCCATCTCCAAGCTGCACGTTTCTCTCTCCAAGTTTCAAATTCTCTTCTAAAGTCTTCCAATCGTCCAGGTTAGCAATAGGGAAGTTGAACTGATTTGTCCTAGCTGAAATAGAAATGCCAGAAGCATTGTTTTGACGATTAAGTAGAAGCTGCACCGAATCATTCAGCTGTAGGACGCTCGCTGTTAGAAAGTCGACTTTACGAATCATCTGTTTTTCGAAAGCTGAAACGACAAAATAAATATCACCATTACTCGTATAAATAAATAAATATAGATATATAAGCGACCAATATTTAATTTCTCACTTTCTGTTGGTTGAGTATGTGTCAGAGTACTGTCATCATAATCAATCAGTCGTGCGCGGCCTATGCTCACAGTCTGAGACGACGATGGCGTATTGACCCTTCGATCTTCATTTACTGAACGAACTGGAGTGATTGATTTTCGAGCCATAGAAATCTCTATATAAAATGTAATTAAGCGCCAATACTAAAACTACATTTTACCAAAAGTTACAGATTCATAATATTTGGTTACCACTTGAGTTTTGTGATGACATCACATCGTTTTTTGCTGCGGTTATCTGCCGACGGTTTGCATCGACCTAAGAAACAATAACGAATGTGTGATTTTATTAGCAGAATAGTGATGATTTAATTACACTATTATTTACTCACTAAAACCAATTTTGGATAGCCATCATCACTATCACACTCCATGTCAGCATCTTCACCTTCTTCGTCGGATGATTTATTTTGGATTTTTGTTTGAGAAATTCTTCTCTTTCGCTTTGGTGGTACTTTGGTTCTGGACTCCTCGGCTGCACTGGTTTCAGCTCCTTTTTCCAGACGGACGAGCTTCTGATGGGCATCGTCGTACAGCCCTGTAAAAGAAAGAAATAATTTAAAAACTTGTGTGTCGTTCAGTACTCTCAAGTTTGCTAAACACAAATAAATTCGTAAAATATGAATCATACTTAGATAGGTACTTATGTATGCATTTTTATAATTCCATACCTATTATGAATTACTTATGTGGTTCAAACTTACCATATCCTTTCACCACTTTCACCTCGTAAAGTGTCCAAGAGGTTGGATTTGGGACTTCACCGGATAAAACGCCCTTCTTTAGCTTTCTGTTGTCCTTCCAAAAGGGGGGCCAGTAACAATATAAGACTTTTTCAATTTTCGTTATCCATTTTTGATGAACTATTCCGACTGATTTATCGTGGCCAAACTCCACCACTACAAATGGCAAACTAAATTCAACCAATGAGCAATCACCCATTACAGACTTCATAGAAATTATAGTTTAGTGAAGGAGAGGAAAAATGGCAAATTTTCCAGAAAACGGGAGTGCTGCACACTTCCTAAAAATTAAACTGACTGGGATTTCTTTAGTTACACGGGACAGTTCTGCCAACACCACGCCAACAATATTTGAGTCTGCCGGCACTTTAAATAACGATTCCTCCACTTTTAGCACATTGCCCCTACACATCAGTTTGTTATCGATTACATTAAAAGATGTAATTTTTATTAATTCACCACTTTTTAATTCGCATATATTATCCCCCAATTTTAATTTAATTTTAAATTTTTCACAAATTAATTCACTGTGTGCACTGTTTAGTATTAGTTGTGTATTATTAGTTTTTAATGAACTCGGATACTGCACAATATTACGTTTTTCCACAATTCTATTATGCACTTGCTGTAATGGAAACCTTTTGCCTTTAAGAAGAGATTGCAGATACCCCAAATGATCTTCGAATTTGAATGCACTAAAACTGTCTAGCGGCCCCAGTGTCAAAGCGTCTTCGGCCAAATGAACCAGCCCATGGACGTTATATGACATATGCTGGGCTCCATACAGCTCCGAAAATTTAATGACAAATGTTTTTAGTAGTGAGTGGGCATAAGAATTGAGTGTTTTATATAATGTTTTGCAGCATAAAATTCTAACTGCTAAATGTAAGCAAATAAAGTGGTTATAATATTTTTTAGGGAGAGTTGATTTTAAAACTACAGGTCCAGAATATAACAAAAATTGTCGTAACTCCGTAGCCTTCCACCTTTTAACCTCTTCAATTGCTCTTGGCTTACGAGCAAACTCGGAAGGAATGAACGGTTTTAGGCATATTAATTTTCTTGTTAAATTGAGTTTCTCCTTGCAAGATAAACGAAACTTGTTTATATTTCCACCAAACCATAATAACACTAACTTTCTAACAACACCCAAGCAGACTAAGTGCATGTATTCGTATGGGAATTGCTTGAACAAATTTATATTTAACCCTTCCAACTCGCTGGGAGAGTGATGATGATCTTCGTCACGTTTTTCTCTAAAACTTTTATCTGTTCGGGGGGCACAATCAACTTCAGGAAATGTCACTCTTCTTTCAATATATTCACCTTCTTGGGTACATTTTCCGCATCCAAAATAACCAGTGTGTCCTTTAATATTTAAAATGAATGCACGTGCTGGAGCATCACATATAAAGGAATGAATTTTAATTGCAATTCTTTTACCATTAAATTTAAATCCATTTTCGCACAAGTCATTCAATTCTCCAACAAATGCACTTAAAAAATCCTTTGATGCTTTTGGTTTTTCATTGCCGCAATATATCCCTACTTCTAAAATTAGATCCAGTTCAACCACACAGCATAAAATTGGCCAAAATTGTTTTCCTGTACTTTTAGCAATCGGCAAGCCATCAACACTAAATTGCAAGTTAAAAGCACTTAATTCACACTTAGGGGGTGTTAGTTTACTTAGTTGGAGTTGCAGTCCAAAGTGACAATATTCACCTGGCTCAAGATCTATAATGTTGATTTTCCTGGGAGTTTTTACTAACGATCTCGCGTCGGATGGTAAGGAAGAAAAACAAGAATGCTTTTTCAAAATTTTCAGCAAGTCTGTTGCCGACGAATGAGTTATCTTGTTTTTTACACACCACTCATGTAATTCTTTTGAAATATCAAACTCACTTAAACACTCTTCGCTGGTTGTATCAAAATTAGTTTTTGAGTTGTAAGTATTTTGAGAATCGTTACCAATTATATAAGTTGAGTGTGATTTTGGTTCTCCCCTTTCTTCCGTAAACAAACGATCACATTCAACTTCTGGGTTAGATCTCAGACTATTTAATTGCTCGTTTGTTGATGAACCATAAAATATTTTGTATGAATTTCGAACTCTCTGATTAGTAGCTCTCTGTAATTTTCTTTGAAAAGATTTTTTTTTGTACATTTTTGTAAATGATTGATTATAAACAATGTCGGAAAGTTAAATATTCCCGAGGTGAGGAACAGTTTTTAGCGTCTCGTTATATTTGGACGAGATAAGTACGTTCAAATATAGGTGGCTTGTAAAGGAATCATTGGAACTAAATTAGCACGTTCCTGGTTCAGCCGAAATGAGTCGTGAAGAACGGGTACTTCAGGGATTGGACCAGGAACGTTCTTAGTTAGTACATAACGGACTAGACGCATCTGGCACGTTTGGCACCCTTATGGGAACGTTCTAAGTACTTTATGGTAGTTTGGGTATGTTCACCAATTTACGAGAACCGCTGCATTGCCAAACCACGCTACGAACAGTTTAATCTGAATCTGTACCACATTTAAATATGCATTTATTTTGCAAGAATTACGATTACGGCATAATCATGATCTTTATTATTTTGTTATCAAATTTACTCATAAAGAGCGAGCACGATGCGATGGTGCGGTGCCATATTATAATTTTATCTTGATTTCATTTCCATCAAAGCATCCCGCACACATGACACATGACACATTGACAGGTCGGACGGAATTATGAGTGAGTCGGCACGTTTGAAAAAATGCTTTCTTTTTTGTATCAAATTCCTTCCCATGGATTCGATGGATTCATAAATACATTCAGCGAGCAAAGTAACTCAGCCTCAGTCGGATGCAGACTTATTAAAGAGTTGACAACAGTTGAACCGCGATGAGAATGACATAATATCGGGTTTATAAAAAAGTA